CTGTGAAGTGCCGATTCCATGGCCGTATACACACTGTCATTTACTCTGGCTCCAGTGCACTCCCACCAGTGGTGTTTGAAGCCAAGTACACATGATTTCAGCAGCAATTCATATCAATGTGCAGTCTCATGAATAGTGGGGCGGTTACATGCATGGGGAAACCAAACATGTAATGTGCATCAGGTAATATGTAAACATGCCCATCCCCCTCTCTGCAATGTGAAATTGTAACTTGAAATGCAGCGAAGAGCAATAACCTTGCTGCATGTTATGACGCTAATATGAACATAATCTGTGTCTAATCCGCTCCCTTGTAGGCATGCTTAACATTGTGGGACTTACTTCTGCATGAACATGGATAGGATTGTACTGAAGCGGTGTTATGAATGTGGAACACTACAAAAAGAGAGACTGTATTGACTCTCATATTAGGTAGAAAAATGGCACTAATTCATACTGACTCAGATCAATGGTACATTATCCCAGGTATGCCAACTTAACCTGACCATACCAGCTCTCCATATCTCCAGGCACAGGTATTTTTCCAGTCCTCTACCTTCAAGTTCTTCAAATGGACTTGTGGGACCTTATGAATGCAAGGCATGAACCCTATTTCAGAGCAACAGTCTTTGTAATTATATGGATGCTGCTGTGAATTACAGGTGAAAACTGAGGAGAAACATGAAGTGCCAATGAACCTTAGTTCATCAAGTGAACTAAAAGCAAAAGCAAAGCAAAAATCTAACGTGTGCCGCATAACAAAAAACCCTGTGTTCTTTCCTCTATAAGCCCAGCTTCTTTTATTACCTCTGATAATTTAGTTAGACTAGAAGGTTCTATTCCCCCCCCCCCAGCTTCTGTGTGTGTTTTTCTAGACTCTATTTTAGGATGCCTACAAGCTGTCTTCTTATAAATTATTTTACCCTAGCATAATTTTCTCTGTGGTAGAGGGTGACCCAGGATTTCAGCCATATCAGATTGCCAAGCAGTCATCCAAAAAAACTCTCTAGTAACGCTGATACAGTAATGTAGGTACTTGGAAGCCAGTGCCTCAAACAAGGCATGAAATATACTGCAGATGCATCTTTTCTTAAACAATAGTCTCCTTGCTATAGTCTCAGAGAATAGTTTACAGATGTACTTCTTCCATTATTTTGTCAAGCTTGAAATCATCCTCATGATCACACCTCGTTGACACAACATGAGCATCTTATGCCTCTCTGGAGTGAGATCCACCAGCATTTCTGTGCTAGAATGTACATGGTTAAACGTAAGTGGAGCATTCTCTGAGGCCTTATTTTAAATGAATGATTCTGTTTCTAGTTAATACTTATGTCCAAATGGAACACTATTCAGTTAAGTGTAATCAATTCATTCATTTTGTTCATTCATTAAAATGTAATTCAAGTGTTCTATGGATCTGCATGGCTGCAGTTGTGCAAATGAAACTAAATATTATCTCTACCAAAGAACTGAGACACCATGACCCCTATCTGAATTACTTGTCTAGGGAAGACCATAGCAGAATCATATAACTGTATAGAGTTGGAAGAGACCCAAATGCAGGAATCTCAACTAAAACACCCATTGCAGAGGCAAGTATGTTCTGGGTGGGTTGGTTTAGAGTGGAAAGTGGGGAGAGAACATTCAGTCATTTCTCTACCCATCAGATTTCTTTTCCCTTCCAATTGTTCCTATTTTAATTTTTGCAGTAACAGAGTCTTGAATTTTTTTTCTTAGGAGACTGGGAAAACATCTCTATAATGCCTTAGCGAATAGGTATCCTGCCCTAGGACAGGGGACCAAATTCAGTAGCCTGCTGTGCCCTTTTTCTAGGCTTTAACTGTTTCTACAAGTTTTCGTGAGATTATACTTATTCAGGCTGCAGATTGAGGGTACCATATTGGAACACTCACCCAAAACTTCCCTGTTATCCTAGCTCTCAACATGCAGGGGCATCTTTACTGAAAAGGATCCAGATATGCATTCTAAAGCTGTACATTCCAGGAACTCCTAAATATTTGAATCAGACTTTATTGGTTCAGCACCATCTGGCATTAACAAGTGTTTAACTTGCATTCATCTCCGCTGATTATTCCCAGTGGCTGATTACTAGAGAACATTTTTCTTCTTTAGAACATTCATGTATCAACCAATCATTCAGAATGCAAAAGGGGTGGCCATGACTGGGAAGGAACCAGAGTTCCTCCTTGTGGATCTTTTCTGCACAATCCTAATTGATTTTGTTATCCAAAGGTATTTTTTTTAGTTTCAATTTACCTAAGTAGTCCCAATTCTCATGCAATGTAGATAAATAGAAGTTTTTATGAAGACATCATTCATCAAAGGATGCTATCTCATGGGAGTAAGCTATTCATATCTAATCTCTTGATCCAATGAGTTGGCCACATTCATCAGCAGGATCACCTGTTTACTCAGAAGGAAGTCCCAGTGTGTTAAATGGGGCTTACTTTCTAGTAAGTGTGTTTAGGATTGAATAAAAGACTCAAGTTACTGCCTTGATATATCTTATGAAAGAACAGTTTATAAATATTTCAATATATAAATAAATCCTGTGCTGATTTAATCAGAAATTCAGCTGTGGGGGGATATTCCAAATTTCTCTTTGCACTGAAATTGCAAGGTGGCAGCAAGGTTCTGCTAATGTCATTTTCACAATGCAACTCAAGGCCCCGTGTCGCCTTTTAGGAGAGTTCACGTCCTAGGTTCCCACTTTGAAGACTCCCCAAGGTTCCCAACACAATTTTGTTTGACATTTAGTTAAAGACCACCTTTATGAAGTAACTGATTTTTCTACTCCCTTGGTGGTCACTTAAAAAGGTTTAATTGTTGCTCTTTTAAAGGTCACTATTAGTAATTCTTTCAAGCCCTCCACTATAAAGCAAAGTGCTGCTTAGCCTTTCTTTTAGCCATGCTAGGATGTGGCTCCAGCACCTAGATCCATATGAGGTTGATTTACTATCTAAATATTGTCTAACTACCGGAATAAGCTCTTAAACCCAACATAAACTCTCCTCCTTGAAGTTGCAGTTGGTGGCCATTTTGTCATTGCTATTCATCTGACACAGAGATTGCCAACGTGGTGCTCTCCAATACCATTCATGGCTGATGGGAGTTGTAGTCCATCAGCACTGACTACCCCGATCTAGCATCACCAACATGCATGGCACTCTATACAGCAAGAACAAAAAGAGGAGAGGGGAAGGCAGGTCTAAGAAGTCACCACCCTGAGATGATTAGTTGTTAAGGGGGAGGAAGGGAAAAGAGGCAAACAGAGTAAAAGAATGTAGAGGAGAAAGGAATGTGGAAGAAAGGGGAAGCAAAGGATGCAAATGAAACTGAACAGAACCTGTGGCTCTCTAGACTACAACTCCCATCAGCCCCAGCCAGCATCACCCAAAGACAGGGGTATGAAAAGCTATAGTTCATCAACATCTCCAAATTACTTCTCTAGTCCACTTTTCCTCCAAGGAGCTCAATAAAGCCCCTTTTTTAATTTGCCACAAACCTTCCCTGTGAGGTAAGTAAGTTGGGTTGAAATAGAGAACAACTGGCCCAAGATCACACAGTAGGCTTCAGGGCTGAGTAAAGCCTATAGCCCTCTCTCTGCCTGAGCCTATCCCCTGCCCAACTCCCATTGTGGAAATGGAGGAGAAACAATCACTACTCACCCACTCCCTTTGGGGCCCTTCTCCTTCTAGGGTCACCTAATTCCCATGGTGATGAGCAGCCTCCTCCTGCCCCTGCTCACTCTAGGCCTCTCTTTCTCTATTAGCCTTGGTGCCTCCTGCACATATGTGCATCTCCAAGATCACATATCCATCCTATCCTCCTTGAATTCCATACAACATGCAAGTTTCATGGGAAAGGGTTGCAGCTCTGTGGTAGAGGATCTGGTTTCCATGCAGAAGATACAAGGCTTGATCTCTGGCATGGCTAGGTAGGGATGGGGAGCATCTTGCCTGAAATTTTGGAGAACCACTGCCAGACAGTGTAGACAGAAGTTTCCCAAACTTGGGTCTCCAACTGTTTTCACACTACAGTCCCCATCATCCCTGACCACTGGTCCTGCTAGCTAGGATTGATGGGTCTTCAGCTGTTTTTGGACTACAACTCCCAAATTTGGGAAACCCTAGTGTAGACAATACTGAGCTAGATGGACCAATGGTCTGAATTAGCATAGGGCAGCTTCCCATGTTCCTATGAGACAAGGGAGTATACCTCCATTGTTCTGGCAATAGAGCTGCAATTCCACACCATGCTGCTTCTGGCAGGAAGGCAAAATTGTGGTTCCATCATCTGAGCAGGAATCCCCACTTGCAGCTTCCCTGCCACCTCCTTTGAGGCTGTTAACCTAGCTGTCTGTATTGCACCACTTCCATTGCCTGGAATCTGCATTCTCCCTTGCACAGGAAAGCAAGAGAAGAAAACGTCAGGGTGGAGTCTATTAAATAGTTAAATAGCCATGTGTGTTAGGTGCCTGTGTAGGGTGGAGCATGAACAGATAAAAGCTAGAAACTAACTTCAGATCTCTTGCCTGAGGCACTCAAACATGGGGAGAAAGCCTTGAAAATGTGCAGTTTCCCCCCTTTCTCATTAACTAGTTTCACCTTTCCACAGAGTACTGATTTTGGCAGGAACTCAAAGCCAGAAACTGTCTGTTAACAATGAAACAAAACAAAACACACAGAAACACATATATATAACATTTTAAAGCTAATAGCTACTCTCTGACTGCTGTCATTTATATCATGGACTTGAGCCACTAGTATGATCCAATTAGTGATTTTAATCAAATTCTGTAACATATTTCAAATTTTCTAGCAAATTTCTAGGTTCCTGAACAACCTGGCACTTGGAATTCATATTAGACTTGTATGTAACTTAAAACAGCTGCAACAACCCAAACCGCACACAAACACACCAAAACCCCATGCACATTGTGACAGAGAATCAAATCGAGTGGATTTTGAGCATACCTGATGGAGAGATATGTCTCCAAGAAATGGAAGGGTCTGGTTTCCCTGTAGCCAAGCAGGCCAGCGTGACGTTACTTCCTTCATTCACCACAATGTCATTTGAGATATGACTTATCTTTGGAGAAACTGAAACGACACAATAAAACACAGTTAAAGATTTCCTTAATCTGGGAAACCACTAGAGATGTCATTAAAGATGCAATACTGATATTGTTAGAATCCAGCTTCATCCCAAACAAGAGTCACCCTTGCTCCGCAATGCACTAAGCAAGGTTAAGTTTATATGCCCATTTTCTATAGGGAAATATCTCTACAAAGTAGCACCTCTGCATACACACACAGGAATATGTTTCCTTGATAGTTTTTAGCTGATACAACATTGAGGCTGCAATTCTAAACATACTTACCTGGAAGTAAGTCCCACCGAACTCAACAAGGAATGCCTATGTACATGGCACTGAATTTTGGAGCATCACTATAAAAAACCTAGTAGGTTAATATTCCATTTATATTTCATTTTTCTTCACCCATTATATCAATGCAACAACCCTGAGAGATAAGAACATATGAGAAAGGCTCAGACCAATGGACTATCTTGTCCAGCATTCTATTCTTACAGTAGCCAACCAGATTCCTGTAGGAAGCCAAGAAGCTGAACCTGACTGCTATAGCACCCTCTGTTATGTTTGACATTGACTAGTATTCAGAGGCACATTTCTCCTTACATTGAAGGTAATATATAGTCTTCATGACAAGAAGCCATTGGGTAGCTAAAGCCAGCACTGGATTTAGGGTAGTGCTAGTGGTTTCCCCGCAACAGGGCGCAAAGCCGAGGGAGTGCAAAATGATGATGATGATAATAATAATAATAATAACAACATCTAAATTTATATGTTCTTAATGATGGTTATTTGGCTTGTTATACTATGTATCTTTTCACCATCAAACTCTAGAAGTAGGTTTACAATAGTAAAAACAGTAATAAAAACAAAAGTCCTAAATGTAATACCAATTCATTTAAAATAAAACAATCCAACACAATAAATCACACCAAGAACAACATAGGCAACAGCATCATCCTCACAGACCTGCTAATCAGGGAAAGCTTTGGCTTGTTACAGGAAGACTGCAAAGGAGCTCATCCCTTTGATTTCTTGAGGATGAGCATGAGCGCTTCATAAAGCAGGTGCCACTGTCAAGAAGGCCTTGTTCCTTGCAAATAAAAATTGTGGCAGTCATGTTCTTTGCAGATATTAAGCTGTTTCAAGTGATTTGTACGCTGTGCTGTGCAGCTGTATTTATTTGCAATAAACCCTCCTGCACCAATTATTCTAGGTTTAGTGCATTGCTTGCGAAGAGATATTACTATGGGGACCAATTTATGAAACATTGTGTTTTTTGGGAACCCAAATGTCAGTTCCAGCTGATGAACCAGGACTGGAACTCCTGAATCTGAACAGCTTTGTCCCCTCTCTCCTGTCTTCAGCACTCTGCTTCCCTTAGCCTCTTGTTTAGCCTCTTTGGAGAACCCAGTTCTGCAGCAAAACCTTTCCTGAGCCACTTAGCCTCTCCTTAATTGCTCTTCTACTGCCGCCTGAGTTATTCCCAATGTACCTGCATTACTCACTTATTAATCCCTCATGAATATCCCCAGCCCTTTGCTTTTTGCATCAGATTGCAAACCCTCTAGATAGGAATGTATGTGTGATGTCTTGTACAATGTTGGAGGGAATGATGAGAAACTCACTTGCCCCCCACAATTACACTCATGTCAGAATGACGCATAATATAAGTCAAGTGATTTTGTTGTTTTCCAGTAAGCAAAAAACTAAAACAAGAACTGGCAAAGTACCTGGAAATGATCATTATATGTCAGTAGCACCTGCTCCAGATACTACCTCTTGCTACTTATGGATGACTCTTTCTTGCATGACTCAGAAAGACTCTGGTTCTGCACACTCACATTCACATGGAAGCTAGGTATCGCGAAACAACCACATTGCGGTGACAGGTTTCTGTCCCTTACCAGGCAATTCAATATCAGGAAGGATTGTCTACCTCTTAAACCACATTCACACCATATATTTAAAGCACTATGGTGCTACTTTAAACAGTCATGGCTTCCCCCCAAACAACCACCTTGGGAGCAGGGCCAGGGCGGGAGAGTGCTAGAGCCCTGTCTGGTCAAGTTGCATGGAATCAATTTCAATCCATTACCCCCCGAGGATGTGGACAGGCTGCTTGGACGTGTGAAACCAACCGTCTCCTTGATAAAAGCAAGCTGGGAAGGGCTGGGCGATGGGCTCTGCGGGGTGGTGAATGCTTCCCTCTGTGAGGGAGCGTTCCCAGACCCGCTGAAAGAGGCGGTTATTAAACCGCTTCTTAAAAAAACATCTTTAGACCTGGCCAGTAGGGCCAACTATCGCCCAGTCTCAAATCTTCCATTCTTGGGCAAGGTGATTGAGCGGGTGGTTGCTGAACAACTCCAGGCATGCCTGGAGGATGCAGACCATTTGGATCCCTTCCAATCGGGATTCAGGCCTCATCATGGGACTGAAACTGCATTGGTCGTGCTGGTTGATTATCTATGGCAGGCTAGGGACAAAGGTGAGAGCTATTTCCTAGTTCTGCTGGATCTCTCAGCGGCTTTTGATACAATCGACCATATCCTTCTGGACCATCTAGAGGAGCTGGGAGCTGGGGGCACTGTTATACAGTGGTTCCACTCCTTCCTCCTGGGCCGTGTCCAGAATGTGGTGTTGGGGGATGAGTGTTCAGAGCCCTGGGCCCTCAGTTGTGGGGTGCCTCAGGGTTCCATCCTCTCCCCCATGCTTTTCATCTATATGAAGCCGCTGGGAGAGATCATCAGGGGGGTTGGGCTGGGTGTCCATCAATATGCGGATGATACCCAGCTCTGCCTCTCTTTTAAATCGGAACCAGTGAAGGCAGTGAAGGTCCTGTGTGTGCGCCTGGAGGCAGTTAGAGGATGGATGGCAGCTAATGGATTGAGGTTGAATCCTGACAAGACAGAAGTACTGTTCTTGGGGGACAGGGGGTTGGCTGATGTGGAGGACTCCCTGGTCCTGAATGGGGTAACTGTGCCCCTGAAGGACCAGGTGCGCAGCCTGGGAGTCATTTTGGACTCACAGCTGTCCATGGAGGCACAGGTCAGTTCTGTATCCAGGGCAGCTGTCTACCAGCTCCATCTGGTACGCAGGCTGAGATCCTACCTGCCCGCAGACTGTCTTGCCAGAGTGGTGCATGCTGTAGTTATTTCCTGCTTGGACTACTGCAATGCGCTCTACGTGGGGCTACCTTTGAAGGTGACCCAGAAACTACAACTAATCCAGAATGCGGCAGCTAGACTGGTGACTGGGGGCGGCCGCCGAGACCATATAACACCGGTCCTGAAAGACCTACATTGGCTCCCAGTACGTTTCTGAGCACAATTCAAAGTGTTGGTGTTGACCTTTAAAGCCCTAAATGGCCTCGGCCCAGTACACCTGAAGGAGAGTCTCCATCCCCATCGTTCTGCCCAGCCACTGAGGTCCAGTGCCGAGGGCCTTCTGGCGGTTCCCTCACTGTGAGAAGCAAAGCTACAGGGAACCCGGCAGAGGGCCTTCTCGGTAGTGGCGCCTGCCCTGTGGAATGCCCTCCCACCAGATGTCAAAGAAATAAACAACTACCTGACATTTAGAAGACATCTGAAGGCAGCCCTGTTTAGGGAAGTTTTTAATGTGTGACATTTTAATGTATTTTTAATCTTTGTTGGAAACCACCCAGAGTGGCTAGGGAAACCCAGTCAGATGGGCGGGGTACAAACAAACAAACAAACAAACAAACAAATAAAAATTCTGAAAGCTGCAGTTTGTTCTCTGTGAAGAGGGATTGATTGTTAAACCACTCTGGGAATTGTAGCTTGGGGAGGGGAATCGGGTTTCCCTAACAACTCTCTGCACCCTTAATGAATTACAGCTCCCATAATTCTTTGGGGAAAGATGTATCTGTTTAAAGTGATATCATAGTACTTTAAATTAATGGTGTGAATGTAGCCTCACAGTGTTGCTTTGGGTTATAAGAGGTGTTGCACTGAGAGAGAAAAATGGGGGGAAGCCGGATGAAAATATTTGCTTCGTTTTCATGTCTCCTTCTGGAGTACAATAATTACCTGTTTGCACTTTAGAAATATTCCTTTCTTGTCTCTTGAACTATCAGTTTTATTATTTGCATACCCTCCAGCATTCCTCAGATGGAACATTTTCACTCCCCCCCCCAAATGACCCTCCTTGATGCCCCATTTTTGCCCGTCTTCTTCCACAGAGCATGTCCTTCAGAAGAAAGGTGAGGACCATCACACCAATAGGACACAGCACACATGCCCTCCACTGTCTGGAGGAAACCCTTTAATCCCAGTCTTATTTCATTATCTGGGAGAGACACACGTTCTAAATATATTTTAGAATGGGCAAGACACACAAAGCATTTTTTTTTTAAATCAAGACTCCTTGTGCCCCACTTTGCTCCTCCTTTCTTCCTGCCCAGGGCAACTCTGCCCTCTGCCTGCCTTGGTGGATGAAGCTTCTTGTCCTCCTCACCGGCTCTCCACCACTCACTACAAGCTGCCCAAGGGAGGATTCTGGCAGCAGTGGCCCTGGAGAAGCCCTGGAATGCTCCCTTGCTTCTGCTGCTGCTCAGAACAAGTGCCAGCTCATCCTCTTCCCTGAGCTTGGCAGCAGCGGCACAGGCAGGAAAAATAAAAACATTCCAGGATCAAATGAGAAGCCAAGATGGCTTTCATATTTCCGGGACTGTCCCTGGAAAACCAAGACACTAGGAGAGTATGTACTTACATGTCAGCATCACCTAAGCAATGAATTTCTACAAACAAGACACCTGACTACAGGATATGCTTGAGTCCCCACTCATGTAACTGCTATGAAACTTCAATAATATTTCCACTAGGTGTTCTTTGTGGCATGTTAGCAAGCAATATTAGCTTACACAGATTCCTTTCCCTTATGTGCCTTAAAGACCTTTCTTTCCTATATTGGGGGATAGGAATGAAGCAGAGGTGCTGTGTGTGGATGAACAACTGTCTTAACCATGTTGGAAGATACTGATTAAGC